TAGACTATAGACTAGACTATAGACTAGACTATAGACTAGACTATAGACTAGACTATAGACTAGACTATAGACTAGACTATAGACTAGACTATAGACTAGACTATAGACTAGACTATAGACTAGACTATAGACTAGACTATAGACTAGACTATAGACTAGACTATAGACTAGACTATAGACTAGACTATAGACTAGACTATAGACTAGACTATAGACTGGACTGTAGACTAGACTATAGACTAAACTATAGACTAGACTAGACTAGAATAGAATAGAATAGAATAGAATAGAATAGACTAGACTAGACTAAACTAGACTAAACTAGACTAAACTAGACTAAAGACTATAGACTAGACTATAGACTAGACTAGACTAGAATAGGCTACACTAGACTAGACTAGAATAGACTAGACTATAGACTAGACTATAGACTAGAATAGACTAGACCAGACTAGACTAGACAAGACAAGACTAGACTAGACTAAAGACTAGAATAGACTAGACTATAGACTAGAATAGACTAGACTAGACTAGACTAGACTAGACTAGACTATAGACTAGACTAGACTAGACTAGACTAGACTAGACTAGACTAGACTAGACTAGACTAGACTAGACTAGACTAGACTAGACTAGACTAGACTAGACTAGACTATAGACTAGACTAGACTATAGACTAGACTAGACTAGACTAGACTAGACTATAGACTAGACTAGACTGTAGACTAGACTAGACTGTAGACTAGACTAGACTATAGACTAGACTATACTGAATAGACTAGACTATAGACTAGACCATAGGCTAGAGTATAGACTAGACTATAGGCTAGAGTATAGACTAGAGTATAGACTAGACTATAGACTAGACTATAGACTAGACTATAGACTAGACTATAGACTAGACTATAGACTAGATTATAGACTAGACTATAGACTAGACTATAGACTAGACTATAGACTAGACTATAGACTAGACTATAGACTAGACTATAGACTAGACTATAGACTAGACTATAGACTAGACTATAGACTAGACTATAGACTAGACTATAGACTAGACTATAGACTAGACTATAGACTAGACTACAGACTAGACTATAGACTAGACTATAGACTAGACTATAGACTAGACTATAGACTAGACTATAGACTAGACTATAGACTAGACTATAGACTAGACTATAGACTAGACTATAGACTAGACTATAGACTAGACTATAGACTAGACTATAGACTAGACTATAGACTAGACTATAGATTAGACTATAGATTAGACTATAGACTAGACTATAGATTAGACTATAGACTAGACTAGACTATAGACTAGAGACTATAGACTCGACTATAGACTCGACTATAGACTAGACTGCAGACTAGACTATAGACTAGACTATAGACTCGACTATAGACTAGACTAGAGACTAGACTATAGACTAGACTATAGACTAGACTATAGACTAGACTATAGACTAGACTACAGACTAGACTATAGACTAGACTATACTGAATAGACTAGACTATAGACTAGACTATACTGAATAGACTAGACTATAGACTAGACTATACTGAATAGACTAGACTATAGACTAGACTATACTGAATAGACTAGACTATAGACTAGACTATAGACTAGACTATAGACTAGACTATAGACTAGACTATAGACTAGACTACAGACTAGACTATAGACTAGACTATAGACTAGACTATAGACTAGACTATAGACTAGACTACAGACTAGACTATAGACTAGACTACAGACTAGACTACAGACTAGACTATAGACTAGACTATAGACTAGACTATAGACTAGACTATAGACTAGACTATAGACTAGACTATAGACTAAACTATAGACTAGACTATAGACTAGACTATAGACTAGACTATAGACTAGACTATAGACTAGACTATAGACTAGACTATAGACTAGACTATAGACTAGACTATAGACTAGACTATAGACTAGACTATAGACTAGACTATAGACTAGACTATAGACTAGACTATAGACTAGACTATAGACTAGACTATAGACTAGACTATAGACTAGACTATAGACTAGACTATAGACTAGACTATAGACTAGACTATAGACTAGACTATAGACTAGACTATAGACTAGACTATAGACTAGACTATAGACTAGACTAAAGACTAGACTATAGACTAGACTATAGACTAGACTATAGACTAGACTATAGACTAGACTATAGACTAGACTATAGACTAGACTATAGACTAGACTATAGACTAGACTATAGACTAGACTATAGACTAGACTATAGACTAGACTATAGACTAGACTATAGACTAGACTATAGACTAGACTATAGACTAGACTATAGACTAGACTATAGACTAGACTATAGACTAGACTATAGACTAGACTATAGACTAGACTATAGACTAGACTATAGACTAGACTATAGACTAGACTATAGACTAGACTATAGACTAGACTATAGACTAGACTATAGACTAGACTAGACTATGGACTAGACTATAGACTAGACTATAGACTAGACTATAGACTAGACTATAGACTAGACTATAGACTAGACTATAGACTAGACTATAGACTAGACTATAGACTAGACTATAGACTAGACTATAGACTAGACTATAGACTAGACTATAGACTAGACTATAGACTAGACTATAGACTAGACTATAGACTAGACTATAGACTAGACTATAGACTAGACTATAGACTAGACTATAGACTAGACTATAGACTAGACTATAGACTAGACTATAGACTAGACTATAGACTAGACTATAGACTAGACTATAGACTAGACTATAGACTAGACTATAGACTAGACTAGACTAGACTATAGACTAGACTAGACTAGACTATAGACTAGACTATAGACTAGACTATAGACTAGACTATAGACTAGACTATAGACTAGACTATAGACTAGACTATAGACTAGACTATAGTCTATAGACTATAGACTAGACTATAGACTAGACTATAGACTAGACTATAGACTAGACTATAGTCTATAGACTAGACTATAGACAAGACTATAGACTAAACTATAAACTAGACTATAGTCTGCTGTAGTCTATCGCCTGGACTAGTCTATCGTCTGGTCTAGTCTATAGTCTGGTCTAGTCTATAGTCTGGTCTAGTCTATAGTCTGGTCTAGTCTATAGTCTGGTCTAGTCTATAGTCTGGTCTAGCCAATAATCTGGTCTAGTCTATAGTCTGGTCTAGTCTATAGTCTGGTCTAGTCTATAGTCTGGTCTAGTCTATAGTCTGGTCTAGTCTATAGTCTGGTCTAGTCTAGTAGTCTGCTCTAGTCTATAGTCTGGTCTAGTCTATAGTCTGCTCTAGTCTATATGTCTGGTCTAGTCTATAGTCTGGTCTATCCAATAGTCTGGTCCAGTCTATAGTCTGGTCTAGTCTATAGTCTGGTCCAGTCTATAGTCTGGTCTAGCCAATAATCTGGTCTAGTCTACAGTCTGGTCTAGTCTATAGTCTGGTCTAGTCTATAGTCTGGTCCAGTCTATAGTCTGGTCTAGCCAATAATCAGGTCTAGTCTACAGTCTGGTCTAGTCTATAGTCTGGTCTAGTCTATAGTCTGGTCTAGTCTATAGTCTGGTCTAGTTTATAGTCTGGTCTATCCTATGGTCTGGTCTAGTCTATATTCTGGTCTAGTCTATAGTCTGGTCTAGTCTATAGTCTGGTCTAGTCAATAGTCTGGTCTGTTCTATAGTCTGGTCTAGTCTATAGTCTGGTCTAGTCTATAGTCTGGTCAAGTCTATAGTCTGGTCTAGTCAATAGTCTGGTCTATTCTATAGTCTGGTCTATTCTATAGTCTGGTCTAGTCTATAGTCTGGTCTAGTCTATAGTCTGGTCTAGTCTATAGTCTGGTCTATAGTCTGATCTAGTCAATAGTCTGGTCTATTCTATAGTCTGGTCTAGCCAATAGTCTGGTCTAGTCTATAGTCTGGTCTAGTCTAGTCTATAGTCTGGTCTATAGTCTATAGTCTGGTCTAATCTATAGTCTAGTCCATAGTCTGGTCTTGTCCATGTCTATAGTCTGGTCTACTCTATAGTCTGGTCTTGTCTATAGTCTGGTCTTGTCTATAGTCTGGTCTAGTCTATAGTCTGGTCTAGTCTAGGCTATAGTCTGGTCTATCCAATAGTTTGGTCTAGTCTATTGTCTGGTCTATCCAATAGTCTAGTCTAGGCTATAGTCTGGTCTATTCAATAGTCTGGTCTAGCCAATAGTCTGGTCTAGTCTATAATCTGGTCTAGTCTATAGTCTGGTCTAGTCAATAGTCTGGTCTAGTCTATAGTCTGGTCTAGTCTATAGTCTGGTCTAGGTCTATAGTCTGGTCTAGTCTATAGTCTGGTCTAGCCAACAGTCTGGTCTAGTCTATAGGCTAGTCTATAGTCTGGTCTATTCTATAGTCTATTCTATTCAATAGTCTGGTCTATTCAATAGTCTGGTCTAGTCTATAGTCTGGTCTAGTCTATAGTCTGGTCTAGCCAATAGTCTGGTCTAGTCTATAGTCTGGTCTAGTCTATAGTCTGGTCTAGTCTATAGTCTGGTGTAGTCTATAGTATGGTCTAGTCTATGGTCTGGTCTAGCCAAAAGTCTGGTCTAGTCCATAGTCTGGTCTATAGTCTACAGTCTAGTCTATAGTCTGGTCTATCCAATAGTTTGGTCTAGTCTATAGTCTGGTCTAGTCTATAGTCTGGTCTAGTCTATAGTCTGGTCTAGTCTATAGTCTGGTCTAGTCTATAGTCTGGTCTAGTCTATAGTATTGTCTAGTATATAGTCTAGTCTATAGTCTAGTAGTCTACAGTCTAGTCTATAGTCTAGTCTAGTCTATAGTCTAGACTATAGTCTATATAGACTAAACTATAGACTAGACCAGACCAGACTAGACTATAGTCAAGCCTCGTACGTAGAGCTGAAAGAAATTTTAATAAATTTAATATTATTTTTTACAATTTAAATTTTCTTTTATTCCAGAATGCCACCGCCACATCATCCCGTTGTACCCGAGGAGAAAATAGTGCCGAGTATGCAAATAAATGGTTATGAAAATCCCACTTACAAATATTTTGAGGTTAAGGAGTAAAAACATTCCACAAACCAACAAACACACAATTTCTCAAAAAAAAAAGAAATGTTTAAATAAAAAACTCATTTTAAAAGACAAAAAAAACCCAAATTTAAACAAATTTTACAGAGGACTAACAAAATCATGAAGAGAAAAAAAAATGATATTTTGAAAGCCAAGCAATTTCTAACTAAATATTAAATGAAAAACAAACAACTCCCATAAATTCTACTAAAAAACATTCAATAATTAATAAAAACTAATAATTTCTTTTATTAAACATTTAAACGTTGTTCTTGTTTAGAAAGTACATTGATGAAAAACCAAAAATAAAAACATAAACATAATTTAAAATTGATGGTGTGTAATGCAAAAAAATAAATAAAAAAATAATTAAGTATAAAACAAACTTATTAATAAGTAATAAATGTAAAACAAACACAAACCAAAACAAAAAAAAAACATTATATGATTAAAATTAAATTAATAAAAGAAAAGAAAAACATTATATTATTTCCTACAAAATGAACAAAAACAATAATAATAACAACAAATTGTAATAAACTAAAACTTGAAAAATAATATTAACAGAATAAAACATAATAATGGAGAGATTAGTAAAGGTAAAAAAAAAACAAAACGAACATAATATTTAAATTAACCAAACATATAAGAAGAAGAAGAAGAAGTTTCCCTTTAAGCCAAATTTTAATTTTGGCTTAAAATAACTTCTTAATATAAATTTTTTTGAGCTGCTTTCTGAAATACTTAAAACGCTTTTAAGCCAAGCATTAACTAAGAAGAGTAAATTTAAAATTTGAGGTTAAAACTTAACAAAAACAAAAATCATACTAATAAAAGCAAAACTTGGTAAAACTCTCACTTTAAACTTAAACCTAAAAAAAAATCAAATCAAAAATATAAAACAACAACACAAACAGAAAACTAAAATCTAAATACTCAAAAGAAGAAGAAAGAAAGAAAGAAAACAAACATACTACAGCTTCATTATTATTGTAATTACAACAAATTTAAGTTAAATAGATAAATTAATTTTCCAGCTAATTTAATTCTAATCATATCATTTAAAACAAACAAAAAACTTAAGTTCAAACAAAAAAAAAAGAAATAATTTTATAGTTTTAAATCTATACTTTTCCTATTTTTTAAATATTTTTTTAATATTTTTTTTTTTTATTTTTTTTTTTTTTTTCAATAAAAAAAAACTTTGCTGTGACACTTAGATTTTCTTTTTGAAATTTTTTAAAAATTTAATTTAATTATTATTTCCTCTAAAATGTTTAGTAAATACACAAAAAGCTTTTAATTTTTCAAACTGTTAAATTACCTAAAAGAAAAAAATACCTAAAATTGCTATTTATATATTATATATAAAAAACACTTAAAAAATGTTTATGCTAAATTCTTGCTAATTATTACAACAATTTATATATACTTCAAACACAAAAGAGAAACATAACAAAGCATACAAAAAATGTATAAGTTATACACAATCTATTATTATTTTTAATTGCAAAATAGATAATATTTACAAAATAAAAACTACAAACCGAAACTTATATAAAATATTTATATATATAAAAAAACAATAAAAAATAGTTTAAAAAGAGCTGAAACATAATCATAGGCTATCAATTTCCAGTTCCGTTCTAGATCTAGTTCTGTTCTAGTTCCGTTTTAGTTCTGTTCTAGTCTGTTCTAGTTCTAGTTCTGTTCTAGTTCTGTTCTAGTTTCTGTTCTAGTTCTGTTCTGTTCTAGTTTCTGTTCTAGTTCTGTTCTAGTTCTGTTCTAGTTCTGTTCTAGTTCTGTTCTAGTTCTGTTCTAGTTCTGTTCTAGTTCTGTTCTAGTTCTGTTCTAGTTCTGTTCTAGTTCTGTTCTAGTTCTGTTCTAGATCTGCCCTAGTTCTGTTCTAGTTCTGTTCTAGTTCTGTTCTAATTCTGTTCTAGTTCTGTTTCTAGTTCTGTTCTAGTTCTGTTCTAGTTCTGTTCTAGTTCTGTTCTAGTTTCTGTTCTAGTTCTGTTCTAGTTCTGTTCTAGTTCTGTTCTAGTTCTGTTCTAGTTCTGCTCTAGTTTTGTTCTAGTTTTGTTCTAGTTTTGTTCTAGTTCTGTTCTAGTTCTGTTCTAGTTCTGTTCTAGTTCTGTTCTAGTTCAGTTCTAGTTCAGTTCTAGTTCTGTTCTAGTTCAGTTTTAGTTCAGTTCTAGTTCAGTTCTAGTTCAGTTCTAGTTCAGTTCTAGTTCCGTTCTTGTTCAGTTCTAGTTCAGTACTAGTTCAGTTCTAGTTCAGTTCTAGTTCAGTTCTAGTTCAGTTCTAGTTCAGTTCTAGTTCAGTACTAGTTCAGTTCTAGTTCAGTTCTAGTTCAGTTCTAGTTCACTTCTAGTTCAGTTCTAGTTCAGTTCTAGTTCAGTTCTAGTTCACTTCTAGTTCAGTTCTAGTTCAGTTCTAGTTCAGTTCTAGTTCAGTTCTAGTTCAGTTCTAGTTCAGTTCTAGTTCAGTTCTAGTTCAGTTCTAGTTCAGTTCTAGTTCAGTTCTAGTTCAGTTCTAGTTCAGTTCTAGTTCAGTTCTAGTTCTAGTTCAGTTCTAGTTCAGTTCTAGTTCAGTTCTAGTTCAGTTCTAGTTCAGTTCTAGTTCAGTTCTAGTTCAGTTGTAGTTCAGTTCTAGTTCAGTTCTAGTTCAGTTCTAGTTCAGTTCTAGTTAGTTCTAGTTCAGTTCTAGTTCAGTTCAGGTTCAGGTTCTAGTTCAGTTCTAGTTCAGTTCTAGTTCAGTTCTAGTTCAGTTCTAGTTCAGTTCTAGTTCAGTTCTAGTTCAGTTCTAGTTCAGTTCTAGTTCAGTTCTAGTTCAGTTCTAGTTCAGTTCTAGTTCAGTTTAGTTCAGTTCTAGTTTCAGTTCTAGTTCAGTTCTAGTTCGTTCTAGTTCAGTTCTAGTTCAGTTCTAGTTCAGTTCTAGTTCAGTTCTAGTTCAGTTCTAGTTTCAGTTCTAGTTCAGTTCCTAGTTCAGTTCTAGTTCAGTTCTAATTCAGTTCTAGTTCAGTTCTAGTTCAGTTTAGTTCAGTTCTAGTTCAGTTCTAGTTCAGTTCTAGTTCAGTTCTAGTTCAGTTAGTAGTTCAGTTATAGTCAGTTCAGTTCTAGTTCAGTTCTAGTTCGTTCTAGTTTCAGTTCTAGTTCAGTTCTAGTTCAGTTCTAGTTCAGTTCTAGTTCAGTTCTAGTTCAGTTCTAGTTCAGTTCTAGTTCTAGTTCTAGTTCAGTTCTAGTTTAGTTCTAGTTCAGTTCTAGTTCAGTTCTAGTTCAGTCTAGTTCAGTTCTAGTTCAGTTCTAGTTCAGTTCTAGTTCAGTTCTAGTTCAGTTCTAGTTCAGTTCTAGTTCAGTTCTAGTTCAGTTCTAGTTCAGTTCTAGTTCAGTTCTAGTTCAGTTCTAGTTCAGTTGTAGTTCAGTTCTAGTTCAGTTCTAGTTCAGTTCTAGTTCAATTCTAGTTCAGTTCTAGTTCAGTTCCAGTTCAGTTCTAGTTCAGTTCTAATTCAGTTCTAGTTCAGTTCTAGTTCAGTTCTAGTTCAGTTCTAGTTCAGTTGTAGTTCAGTTCTAGTTCAGTTCTAGTTCAGTTCTAGTTTAGTTCTAGTTCAGTTCTAGTTCAGTTCTAGTTCAGTTCTAGTTCAGTTCTAGTTCAGTTCTAGTTCAGTTCTAGTTCAGTTCTAGTTCAGTTCTAGTTCAGTTCTAGTTCAGTTCTAGTTCAGTTCTAGTTCAGTTCTAGTTCAGTTTCTAGTTCAGTTCTAAGGTTCAGTTCTTAGATTCAGTTCTAGTTCAGTTCTAGTTCAGTTCTAGTTCAGTTCTAGTTCAGTTTCTAGTTCAGTTCTAGTTCAGTTCTAGTTCAGTTTCTAGTTCAGTTCTAGTTCAGTTCTAGTTCAGTTCCTAGTTCAGTTTCTAGTTCGGTTCTAGCTTCAGTTCTTGGTTCATTTCTAGTTCAGTTCTAGTTAAGTTCTAGTTAAGTTCTAGTTAAGTTCTAGTTAAGTTCTAGTAAGTCTAGTTCAGTTCTAGTTCAGTTCTAGTTCAGTTCTAGTTCAGTTCTAGTTCTAGTTCAGTTCTAGTTCTGTTCATGGTTATGTTCTAGTTCAGTTCTAGTTCTGTTCTAGTTCTGTTCTAGTTCAGTTCTAGTTCAGTTCTAGTTCAGTTCTAGTTCTAGTTCTAGTTCAGTTCTAGTTCAGTTCTAGTTCAGTTCTAGTTCAGTTCTAGTTCAGTTCTAGTTCAGTTCTAGTTCAGTTCTAGTTCAGTTCTAGTTCAGTTCTAGTTCAATTCTAGTTCTGTTCTAGTTCAGTTCTAGTTCAGTTCTAGTTCAGTTCTAGTTCAGTTCTAGTTCAGTTCTAGTTCAGTTCTAGTTCAGTTCTAGCTCAGTTCTAGCTCAGTTCTAGTTCAGTTCTAGTTCAGTTCTATTTCAGTTCTAGTTCAGTTCTAGTTCAGTTCTAGTTCAGTTCTAGTTCAGTTCTAGTTCAGTTCTAGTTCAGTTCTAGTTCAGTTCTAGTTCAGTTCTAGTTCAGTTCTAGTTCAGTTCTAGTTCTGTTCTAGTTCTGTTCTAGTTCTAGTTCTGTTCTAGTTCTGCCCTAGTTCTGTTCTAGTTCTGTTCTAGTTCTGTTCTAGTTCTGTTCTAGTTCTGTTCTAGTTCTGTTCTAGTTCTGTTCTAGTTCTGTTTTAGTTCTGTTCTAGTTCTGTTCTAGTTCTGTTCTAGTTCTGTTCTAGTTCTGTTCTAGTTCTGTTCTAGTCAGTTCTAGTTCAGTTCTCGTTCTAGTTAAAAAGCTCTTTTTAAACAAATTTCTAGGTTATCTAGGCTTTTTTAAAACACATTTAACACGTATGACTAAAATCCGTTAAAAAAAACTTCATTTAATAATTAAAAATTTTACTTAAAACTACACTATGGAAAGAAAAGTAAAACAGAATAAAATTTACTAAAAAAGAATTATAAATACATAAAAATACCAAGCATTATTTAAGAAAAAAAAAACTAGTCAAAAAACCAAATTATAAAAAAAGCTTAAAAACATAAACTCATCTCAACATTTATTTCAAAACAAGCAAACAAAAAAATATATAAACAATTTATTATATATTTAATAAAAAATAACAACAAAACAACATATTTATGTAAAACTTAGCATGAATGTAAGAGTAAAAAAGAAAAAACAAGATAAAAAACCCCGTCCTGCGTAAAACAAAAAAATAAATAATAAAAATTTAATAAATAATTTAAAACAAAATAATAAATGAAAAAACTTTACACAAAAAATATATTAATAATAATAAAAAAAAACTTATCATTTCAATTAATTTCGATTACTTTACATAATAAGTCAAAACAAAATTATAAAAATATTTAAAATAAAAACCAAAAAAAAATAAATCTTTAATATATAAATGTACTCAAGACAATTGTAATTGCAACAATAATTGTACGCTAAA